GGTGTTCATGGTCCTCGTGGTCGTGTTAGGTTTAAAGAGTGGTTCCATACACTAAGAGTGTAGCGGACTACGGTCCAGCCACCGCCCTGCATGCGCTTGATTCCCAAATAGAGCGTGCTTGTGTTTGCCTGTGAAGGAGTGTTGGCCGACTATGTTGATGAAACGCGGCTCCCATCCACATCCCTCCCAATCTCATTCCTTCGGGTATACACTGGATATGAGGTGTGTGGTTGGAGCTGTGGGTGGTGCAGCGCAAGCCACCCATGGTCCCTCTGTAGGGGCAGGCGTCCTGTGGCTGGCCACAGTGACAGACAAATCCGAAACCGAGTGCCGCCAACTATATATATATATATATATATATATATATATATATATATATATATATATATATATATATATATATATATATATATATATGGCACAATCTGTGGTACAGATACTGTGCCATCGGAATCATGGCTGAATAGAAAAACAGTAGGAATAATAAGAAAAGAACGACAACATAAGTTTTTGACCAGTTTGACACACAGTTTTTGAAACTATTTTCAGTTCGTGTTTTAAGGGGGAGGAAGGAGGGACACGGCAACACATCGAGGTACACGTCCGCCACTGACATCGATCTTCAGCCATGGCTTCCAAGGTCCTCAACCAGCAAGTATCCGCATCTCTCGGATCCCAACCAGGTAGTCGACAACAACCGGCCGAAGCCACCTGTTTCGTCAACTTTTTCATGCGACTTCTCCCATTTACAGGCTGTCCACCAGACCGCCTCTTCCAGCCCTGTTCAGCAACCGCAAACAACGCACAACGCGGGTAACGCTGAACACGCATGCGCAATACATGTCACAGCCACGGCACTTGATGCAGTGAAACGTGCTCCTCGAGCGAGTGGCTTCCTCGTCCCTGGACACGCTGTCTAACTTCCACTTTACTTACGTGGTTCCGCCACCACAAACTGGCAATGGACCTCAGACAGTGTTGCTCGAATACGGATAGCCTGCGCAAGTCATCTTTACGAATGGGCCAGGTCTCGTATCTGTATAACAGTACAGCACGAACAGTTGCACAATAGGCCCGCTCTATGATGGACAGACGAAAATCGTGGCGACGCCACAAGAGCCTCAACCTAGAAAAAGCGAGGCGTGCTCTTGAGATGCGTATCGAAATCTCGTCTCCAACAGCCCCGCCATCAGTGATGTAACTTACCAAGTATACAAAGCTGTCCACAATCTTCAATGTCTCATCACCAAGATTGAGTGTAGACACACGCACCTGCCAGACTTGGAAGAGAGCTTTGCATTTGGATGGCGAAAAGTAGATACCATACTTTGATGCTTCACTTCCAAAGCGGTTTAGTGCAAGTTGGACGGCGTGTGGATCGGCACCTAACAAGACGATATCATCAGCATAATTCAAATCAACAACTCCACTACTTGGTAGGAGCACAACACCGGCGCTCAACGAATCGCCCAGCGCGCTCTTTAGGACATCCTCAATGGCGAAGTTGAATAGGAACGGAGAGACAGGGCATTTCTGTCCAACTCCATTGGAGATCAAAAAGGTAGGCGAAAGCTTGTCACAAGCTCTAACTCTGCTCCAGGTCAGACCATAGAAAGCGCACAGTAAGGAGACGAACTTCTCGGGGACGCCATTCTTCAGCAAGCAGTGCCACAGTACCGTCCGATCGACAAAAAATAAAAATGTGTCAGCTGTACGAAGTAACGGCGTTTCGCTGCCGCACAACCACCACCAGTCGCGCGCGGGCTGAGTATACGGCGAGGACTCCCATGCCTAAGCGGATTCGAATCGGTGACCTTATGGTTGCAAAGCAAACGTGCAGACCACTCGGCCACCGGCCGACGTCCGATCGACAGAATCAAAGGCTGTACGGATATCCAAAAACACAGTAAGTGTTGGCCTCTGATACACATGGCGAAGTTCGAGGACCTGGCGGAGTATGAAGATTTGATCGATGCAGCCGCGACCAGGGCGACTAGCCGCGCTGCAACGATTCACGCGTTGCGGATAGCCTGCGAAGTTTGATTGACATCGGCAGCTAGAAAACCACGGGGACTAAACTTATTCCTCTGTAGTTGGAGCAGATTGTGCGCAGTCCCTTTTTGAAGATGGGGACGACTATCGATTCAGCCAAAAGTGATGGAAGTTCCTCTTTCGACCAAACTTTTGAGAACGAAGCAGTGTGTTCTCGAACCAGCGAAGCGTTACCATCATTAAATAGAGCTGGAGGAAAACCAGCAGGGCCGGGGCATTATAACGCTTCATGTCGTACAGCTCCTGCTTAATTTCGTAGTAAGAGGGAGGATCGGTAGGGGTGGAGCACTCGGCACCAGTGCGAGCGCCAGAGGTAGCAGACGGAGCTGGGGGCCAACAAAACTGCGAGCCAAAATGTTTGGCCCATCGCTTCAACCGTCATTGAATATTGGTGATTAAGGTGCCATCCTCTTCACATATGGTTTCAATTATACGAGATCGAACACCTTCGGTGACTCGAATGAGATGAAAAAGTTTTCTGGTATTACCAAAGAGACTAGCAAGCTCCATCTACCTAGCACGTTCACACCACCAAGCTTCGAGGTCCATTTGCAGACTCTTGTGCAACTCTCGATCCAGGGGTTGGCGTTCATCACTGTGGCTGGAATCCGAAGGGATTAAGCGGCGTTTGTCTATCAGGAAACAATATCCTGGTGCACCTCGGGATGCTTAATGACTAGTTGATTAACTTTATTTGTAACACACTCAGCCGAAGCTAACGAAAGTTTCAAGCGAAGTTGAAGAACGCTATGACATTACGCAATCACGCTTTCTCCGGCTACCACGACCTGATATTGAATTCATGTAGGAAGACCGGACAGATAGTCTCGAATGTCTTCCGTCGGTTCAACTTTATCATGTGGGAATACCAGCCAAGGAGTTCAAAGCACACTAATTTACACGCAATCTGATTTTATCCAGCTCGTCTACCACTAGACAGGAAACTGCAGAGCTGCACAACCCAAGGTAAACAGGGCACTTGAGTGTTCTGCAGATTAGTTTGCAGTGGACGAAGAGATGGTTACCATGGAGCTGAGAGCAACAACATGCTTAGACCGCATGTGCGCAGTTTGATATTCGAACGAGGAACCAGCTAACAAATATTTCTGTTTACTCATTTTGCCTACAACATGTTTCCTCTAGAAATTTGGATGCGAAAAGAGCAGTAGAATTTAAATACCTCACTTGGTTAAAAAGAGTGGAATAATTGACGCAGAAAAAGAAAAAGGATTGATACGTTGAGTTTCGGCAAAAAGTCAAAATAAAAATTTATTGGCAACAGACTCAAAAACCGGCATACCGCAGCAACCAGGTATTATCACATTCGTGAAACATTGTCCCCTTTACCCATTTGGTCAACGAAGACAGAAGACAAAGTTTGCGATATGTTAACATTTCGATTACTCTCATCAGTCGCAAACGTGAAACATTTGGGTAAAAAAAGTGACGTATGTGCATGTGGAACGAAACTATACGGGTAAGTCAAAGTTGAGCAATCAAGACCAAGGCAATCTGATAAATTGCTTCAGTTGCTTTTGCGCGCACAGTACCGGCCGGTTTACCGCAATCAGTAATGCCTCACTGATTGCCAGCATTTTCGAGGTGCGGTTGATCAATAGAATTTTGAAGGCCTTCGATGGATCCACGTGAAGGCCTGTCATCACGAGATGTTTTGTAATAGAAGAGGAAGGGTTCCGGCTCACCAGTTGATCCTTCACTCTTTGTTATATCATGGATTGCTTCAACCACTTTGGGAAATGCTCAGCCACCCCTTGGGCCAGTCGCCGGTCGGTCCTGCCTATATAGACGTCAACGCAACTGCAGGTGAACTGGTAAATACTATGAGGGGCCATACCGACTGACGAACTGGCCGGACGGTAGTTGAGCTCCAATCTCCGTATTGAGTGAAGGATCCGTAGACACGCGGTAGTATAAGTGCGCGTTACAGCAGATCTAAGTTTATGACCAATTTCATTTGAAACATTGTCCCCTTTGAAGGGTATAATTAAACAAACATCCTTTTTTCCACCATTTGTACTGGTAGCTTCTATTTGGTTAGTCTACTGTGCAACTGAATAAATTTCTCGAGATAAAAGTTTGATAAAGGAGTCCTGTGTAGGAACGGTTCTTCACTTCGCAGCATCTCTGGACTGTAAATACGCCTGGCTCTGTAGTAAAGGGTTCTAACGAGAGTGCGCTGGTATGTAACCGGTGCAAAGCTGGGGAAATGCATGTATTGTTCACTCCAAGTTGCTTTACGGTACACACTGAGTTGGAGTGCACCTCAGGCTCACCGTTTGATGTCTAAAAACGGCAGGGTATCTTGCTCTTCCCTCTCATATGACACGGAGAGACTGGGGTGAGTCGAATTTAACAGGGTGACAATTCGGTTAAAATGCTCATCGCTAGTGAAGATAAATAGGTCATCCACGTAACGTTTATACAGCTTAGCTTCATTAATGATGTTAACGATCTTCCTTGCAATCAGTCCCAAGAATATGTCTGCCAAAACTGATCCTAGAGGGCTTCCCATTGTAACGCCATCTATTTGCCTGTAGGCGGAACCTGCAAATTCAAAACGAACATTTTCTGTACACGTTAATAGCAGGCCACTGAGGTATTCAGGGGTAAGAGCAACAGATAGGTTTTGACTTAAAAGGAAACTGCATAATTCGTCAACTGTTTCGCACAAGGGTACATTTGTGAAAAGTGAGTCCACAACTACCGACTACATACGCTTTGTATGCAGTGACGTTTGGTTCAACGGCTATTGTTAATCCTAGCAGCAAAAAACAATCGCCAGCTTGTTCCGAGGCACGCGCATGAGTTGATGATCAAGATGGTGGAGGTAAGGTGGGCAAGGAAGATGAGGAAAGTGGTTAAAAAATAAAGCTGTCGAAATATCATCTCCTCATGGATGTTTGAGATGTACGGCAAATTAAGCTCACCGGATCAGTATACACAGAAGGTTCTGAAATCGAGTGGGGAGTTGATTTCACGCAGGAGCTGGCCGGTCGTTTGATGATAGGATTGGGTGTCGGAGCTGGAGAAGAATGCTTCGACCGATCACATAAAGCGGTGTATCCGTTCTGAACCTTCAACACTGGCACAGAAGAATTTACAGGAGACAAAGAAGAGGCTGCGCGCCGGCGAGTACAGGTATGCCCATTGGTCTGTTATTAAAGAAAGATGCCCAAAGAATTCATAAGAAGCAAACATTCCACGTGGCCATCAGAAGATTCGATGAAACACTAGTCTACAGAGGCAAATGTGCCAAGAAAAGATCAAATGATTAACCTCAACCCAGTAGCTTATCCCAAGGAAAGGAAAGCATTAACCATGCGGACAAATTTCGTTCTGACAAATCAAACAGTATCCGAAAGGTGATGTTAAACAGGTGCATAGGGGCAACTGCACTTAATCATCGTCAAGGAAAAAACGTAGCTCGGGCATCCTAAGAAAAATAGGCGACAGAATGTGGTTGTCTGTAGCGGACGGAATAGTGTATCGGGTGGAGTAGGCAGACCAACTAGACCCTTGAATCATCCGACTAATGTGAACCGAACGGCCTAAGTTGTTATCCACACCAAGCTCCGCCGACTGGATGACAGGCGCCGACTATTAACTGTAATAAACATGGAACACAACCAGTGGAACTGTGACTTTGCGGATGGTACCGACTAGACTATATATGAGAGCGCTATGCGAACGACCTATGTTGTATTCTACCGTTGCTTGGTTTTCATCAATAAGCTTGAAAGACGGAGTTCGACGACATGATACTAGGGAAAACCAAGACAAAACCCGCAAGTAGCTGTTCAACTGCTTGTCCAAATGAGCGAAAATTATCAAGTGGTTGGCATCTCCGTAAAACTAAGTGGATGGATTTTGCCACATTGACGCGTCTGCACGAGCAACTGACATGCAGTGGGACACGAGGCGCGCCCATTTGCTAGAGACATTGCGGTACGACAAAGGCAAAAAGCTAACGGCTCGCAGAAGGTCATTGAAAAGCTTAGTGAATTTCGCGAAGGCCAAAGTTATGAGACTTATCAACGCTATCATTTCGTTTCGCAAAGAAGAGACCTAAATGAATATATCGAAACGCACGTATTGAAAGATTTGGGCCCAGTCCGATAATCGCCACAAATTCATGAAAAAACAGTTTCATACGGGACCAAATTTTTTTTAGGAAGATTGATGCAGGTATGACAAGATAGCTACCGCGACATTGCAACGTAGCGCTCCAGCAGTGCACCGACATCACCAGTAGTGAGTTCTCAACCACGTGTCATTACAGCGAATGAGGATCTTGACTAATACAGAATTGTGTGTGAGGTCGGAGGAGGAAACTTGGAAAACCGCCGACATGAGACAGAGGGTCTGCAACTTCTACGCGGCAAAAAACAAAGGAGTCGCAAACAGTGTGCGCCATGAAGAGCAAAGCGTGGCAAATGCAGGAAATGGAAGCACATATCGTTGCTATCAGTCGACGAAGGTGAGCGCACTTGTCAATGACAAGTCGACCGCAGATTTATGACATTTAATCAGCAACGTAGCTCGAAAGAGATCCCAGCAGTGTATTTACGTGTCGTTTAATGGAAACTAGAGAAGTACACTTCCAGTTAGACACTGGTGCTAATTGTAAGGTTCTACCCAGGAAAGCACTCATCATAAACAGCAATACATCAGTAATTTGAACTGATGCTTCACTGCCATACAACAATAATGACCGACGGAACGAAGAACAATAAGAAAATGGGGACATACGTAAAATCTTAGTGCTCTAAACAAACAGTCGGGGTCAACGCGACTAGACCTCGTCAAAAACCAAACATCACAAAGAGCTCGCTATCGTGCAAAAACAAGGCGGCATCGGCGAAACAGCATTCTTGCGGCTTTCACGGCCCCGCATCATAATAAGCTGTTAAACCGCAGCTAACAGCACCAAACAAACTTTAAACAGACAATTCGACAAGGAGAAGGAAGCAGACACGTCACTAGTTCCGACTGAGAGCCATGTGCTGTAACGTCTCGAGCCAAGCACAAGGCGTGTTACGTGGACTTCAGCCTGGAAGGCGAAAGGGGCCGACGCCACCGAGTCGGGTCGTCAGTGACTTCATTTCACACTGCCAAGCTAAATTTTGCCCACCTTGGGCCTTGCGCTAACCTACATTTGGCATACAAAACAATGCCCTCCTCGGTAAGCGGTGACCAGGCATACGCAGTACGTGAACAAGCTAACGCAACTTATTCAGTGCTATCTGCTGTTCTAAGGAACCAGCCTACTGCCTACAGCTCACTGCCTAGTACTCACTTCCGCACATCACGCTGCGGACATGCTGGTACTACTCGATACCAGCAATGCTTCGTAGACAATGATGACAAAAGACTTGAAGCCGACACAGTTCCTCAGATGCGAAGCGCCAAGCCTCGCCTTCACAGAGCAGGACACCCTCACTGTGGCCGTGTATACACGGCTTTTTATACTAAGGGAACCTCTATTCTGAAGCCACAGATATCGAAAATCCAAAAAGGCAGTTCGGCTTTTGCAATGCGTGAACTGAATTCAGTTGCTATGCACGCATCGCTGCTGATACAGATGCTAACGTAGGTAAAAGGATCGACTACCTTGAGTTCCTCGTCATCAAGAGGCGGGGGCTCACGCAACACCAGTTCGCACGTTGCCACCTCCCCGCTGCCTTGCGGACAGGCTTTTGAGCCAAATGCTTTGGATGAGGACCCTAATCGTCCTCCTGTCTAGGTCTGGGCGCCCTGCCAGTATCTCAGCCCACATACAACCACGACATCTCCTTCAAACATAAACTTCATCCTGCACCGGCCGTCACGCAGATTATCAAGGGTCGCCTCATCTGCTGCATACAGCAGGGCGGATAAGCGAAAACATGCTAGTGCCGGCGCCTCCCTTCTTTCTTTTCCACCCTTTTCTTTTACTCCCATCCCGAGCCCCATTAGTAAACTTCCTTCAAAAATTCCCAGCGTAATTGACAGCAACCGAAGTGCCACTGGAGTAGAACCATCTGCATCCACCATCCCACAGCACCTATCGGACGCCTATCGGCAAAAGTCTATTATAAGGCCACGTTATCCCGTTTCCATGGCGACATTCAACGTTCGCACACTAAGACAAACAGATCAACAGGCTGAACTCGCACGCACCTTGGACACACTGGGTGTTGATGTGTGTTGTGTGTCCGAAACTAGGATTAATGACCATAACGGGGTTATTGAATTGACTGCACCCGGCTTATCCTCTCGTTATTGGTTGCACGCATCCGGAGACGCCGATGCAGCAATCACGGGGCAACCTGGTGTACGTAACATACTAAGCTCCAAGGCTGAGTCATCGTTGGTTGATTGCGTTCCGGTGAACAGTCGTTTATGTGCAGCCCGTTTGACGACATCAACGAAGGTTGATTCACAAAGTAATAAAAAATGCTGTTTGTTTGTGATTTCCGCTTATGTTCCCACCGACTGCAGTTCAAATACTGTCAAGGAAACATTCTATCACGAACTGAACGCCCTACTACGCAGCGCTACTAGTTCAGATATTACAGTACTTGCAGGGGATATGAACGTACAAGTACGGCGTATGAGCTCTTCAGAAGCTCAGCTGGGTGGTAATTGTGGACTTAACTCCGAACGGACTGACAACGGCGAGCGTCTGCTGCAACTGTGTGCCGAGCACCAGTTGTTTCTTAGTAGAACTGCTTTTAGACACAGTGGGCGCCGAAATTCCACTTCGCGCCCTCTTGTAGCTGGCCAGCGATGGACCCAAATTGACCACACAGCGATAAGTTACAGGTGGGGTGGTTCCATCCTGGATTACCGCTCATACTGGAGTACCTGTGTCGACTCTGATCACGCCTTGATATGCTGTCGTTTCTCCATGAACTATACCGGGAGGCGCACGAAGTGTCCCCGAAGATCGGCGACGGAGAAACTGTCTCACCCCTCGGTCAGGCAAGCCTATCAAGAAGCGCTGCGTAGCAAACTTCCGCTGTCTTGTCCTAATAACACTTAGCTTCAGTGGAATAGGATCTCGGCCGCCATGCACGACGCAGGAGCATCTGCATGTGGCGCTATCCATCGTCACCGCACCAGTCACTGGATATCCGAGAGGTCGGTGAACCTGTTGGAATCTAGAAGACACCTCCCGGCTGACTCTGAACACACAATGTGACCAGACGGGCTATATAGGCGTGAACAAACGCAAAGCCTACGTGCTGACAAGGAAGCCTGGTGGACCAGTAGGGTTCAAGAAATGGAGGAGGCAGGGGCAGTAGGCAATTACCGCAACCTCTTCCAGCTAATCCGCACCACTGGTCACAGAAAACCAGACGTCAGTGGCACAATCAGAGACAACGCTGGTGCGCTGATACACAATAAAGAGCGCCGTATGGCTCGTTGGGCGGAACACTTTGAAGAACAGCTTGGCTGGCGTCCTGCTCCCGGACCTCTTCCTACTCAGATGATGCAGGACTAGCCATGGACGGTTAGTCTAGAGCCTCCGTCAGAAGCCGAGGTCCGAAACGCGATTACAGCCCTCAATCGTTTTCGAGCCGCTGGCCCGGATTCCCTCCAATCTGCGCTATTTAAGGATGGGGTGAGGTCCGCTGCAAAGCACTGACCTCCCTATTGTAAAACATATCTGGAAGAAAGGAAGTGTCGGGCTAATTGGAGCGAATCGATTACAGTGGTAATATACAAGAAGGGCAGTCGCACAGACTGTGCGAACCACAGGGGTATTAGTCTAACGCCGTTGTGACAAAATTATTGGCCTCCATTATCGTTCGTCGCCTCACTGCGGAACGGGAATCTCGGATTAGGGAAGAGCAGGCCGGTTTTCGCCCAGGACGTGGCTGTATAGACCATATATTTACTTTGCGGCAGGTGCTAGAGCAGCGCCACGCATACCGCAGACCGACAACAGCTGTGTTCCTCGATTTCAAGAGTGCGTTCGATTCAGTCGATCGATCGATTCTGTTCGAATTACTTGCACGAAAAGGTGTTCCCACGAAATATGTAAACATCCTTCGTGCTCTATACTCGAACACTAGAGGCCGCGTCAGGGTCTACGGTGTCCTATCGGATAGCTTTCGCACCACAAGCGGCGTTCGCCAGGGTTGTCCGATTTCCCCGTTTTTGTTCA